GAGAGAAAATGTTTTGAGAATGAAGTACAAATGCGCTTTACACAATTGATGTGTGTATGGATTGTGATAAGAGTTGTATGAGACCCTAATAAAATGTTTAAAATAAAAAATAAAATAAATAAAATTAACAAATTGCTGAACGTGGTCTATACATTCATTTTGTTCTGCTTCTACTGTACACAGAGTGGCCTGGCTGTGCCGTTAGTGCGTGAGGTTGCGGCTACGCGGGCTGCCCTCTGCCTTGCGGTAGAATTCAGCAAGTTCTGAGCACCAATGGCCTTCACCTTCTCATTTCCTGCTTCTTTTGCAAGTTGGTCCACAACCCAATTAAACCACCAACTATATTCTCAAAGGAGCCAAGTCCTCGCACTCCACCTGGAGCTTTCTGATCCTCGGGGAACCTCGGGGTCCAACCCTCACCACCTGTCCCGCACAGGAAGGGCAGACCGGCTGCCCCCAGGAGGGCCTGGGCCATAGCTGGTGGCCTCTAGCTCATCTCGAGAAGAGTCGCTGGGACAGGGCGACAGGGGCAGCCAGGAGAGGTGTGTCCCAGGAGCGAGACTCAGGAGAGAATCACAGCCCGTTGCTGGTCACAGAACTTGAGTGTCCACTGCAGGCTCCGTGACAGTGAGGCTGGTGTCCTGTGCCAGCCAAGCTGTTGGGTCGGCACTTCCCTGCCAGTCTCAGAAACACGAGTTTCTGAAATGTTTGTATGTGACATTGACATATTGTGGAACTTTGAGCACAGGTAGATAACAGTGGCCCTCTGTCGGTGTTTCTAGACAGAAGGATGGCATTTGCATGGCGTGGCAAGCGTGCCAGCTCCCACCCTTCCTTGCTGTGCTTTTCCTGGAGAATGCAATCCATTACCTGGATTCATCCACCGGGTGAGATTCATTATGAGAACTTTTTTTAGTTAAATTGCCACAGAGTGGATTCTAGCTAAACTCACTGCGGTGACTGACTCATAGCAACCCATGTGTGTCCGCATGAAAATACCCTCCACAGGCGCCAGGCCTGTCTTTTGAGGTGCCTCTGGGTGCACTGGAACACCAATGTTCCCGTGGGGAGCAAAGTGCTTATTAGTCATTTGAGCCACCTGGAGCCCCCAAGTTTGTAATCAAAGACATTTCAATGTGATCTGATCTGACAGAGCCTTCTTTTAAGGGGCTGACGTTGGAAGCCACTTGAAGGAAGGGGTGAGTGCTGAGAACCGCAGGTTTCACAGTGCACGGTCTGCCCTTGCAGGTGAGCGAGATGGAAGTGAACGGCCAGTTCGAGTCTGTGTGCGAATCCGTGTTCAGCGAACTGGAGTCACAGGCGGTGGAAGCGCTGGACCTGCCCGTGCCCGGCTGCTTCCGCATGCGGAGCCACAGCTACGTGAGGGCCATCGAGAAGGGATGCTCGCAGGACGATGAGTGCGTGTCCCTGCGGTCCGCGTCCCCACCTCGCACCGCCACCACCGTGAGGACCATCCAGAGCAGCACCGGTGAGTGAGCCCCGCGCGTGGCCCCTCGGGGCGCACACCTGGGCCTCCGGCTGGAGCACGCACGCATTGGCCTTGCAAACGCATAGGCGCTTGTACTTGCTTCTTTCCCAGCCTCCTTCCCCCTCCTCAGGAATCCTTCAGCACCTGCTCTCTTTAGCTCTATCTCCGCTCTCCACTCAGGAAACTAACATTGCAGACCACCTGGGACTAGCTAGCCGGTGGGAGGTCTTTCCCAGACCCCACCCTCTTGCAGCCTAGCAAATGGTCCCCACCAACTTAAACTCTCACCTTTGGGTGGCATGACTACACTCCTGTCTATTGCGCGTCCCAGAAGGCATGGACTTGTTTCATGCGTAAGGGTCCAGAATGTAGCGCTCCCACAAGAGCTGAACTATCAGATCTTGGAGGGAGAAAATACGAAGGCAGAAGTGAATGATGGAGTAAGAGTGATTGGACATGAGTTGTTTGAGGAGAAGAGAAGGCAGATTTCTTTCATTACTTTAAACCCCTGCACTATAATGTGGCTACAATAGCTCCCTATTTCTCTAAATTGCACTTGGGTTACACCTGTGAAACTAATCTTTATCAGTAAGTTTTAGGCACCGAAAGCACAGACTAGCTGACACTGAAGCCTGCCCAGCAGTACAGCCTGCAGTGATGTACAACAATGTGCACATCTTAAATTAACCGAACTTAACTTTATGATTAAAGTCAGTATAACTCCAATACAAAGAAGTCATTCTAAAAGTAGCTGATAAACCTAGCTAGAGTCGAGGTAAATAATGATGAATAAATAAGGAAGAGCCTGTAACAAAATATCATATTATCCAGTTTTAATTCTAGGTGCATTGAATTTCAGCAACTGCCGCTCAGTCTAGGGCTTCTGCGGACTTCAACAAGAATTGGTCCTCAAGTTGAAGTTAAAATCCAACTAACTAGAGCTCTGGGGATGAGGGAGGAACTTGTTACAGAAAGTAAAAATCACCGGATTCAACAATGGAAGTTCATTCTTGCCCCATGCTAAGTGCAGCCCCCACGGTGAGGAGACGGAGGCTCAGGACAGGCTGTGGCTGCTGGGACCCCAGCGGCTCTGCCTCTGCCGGCTCTCTAGAGCGGGAAGAGTGGAGTGCATTTCTGATCAGGAACACATTCTGCAGTAACAGATCAAGAATATTTCAGCCTGGTTAACCCATCGGCCAGCGAATGAATAGAATGGGTGACAAGAAAGTTGCAATCATTTGTGGGCATGTCTGTGTGCATGTCTATCTCCACGCATAAATGTAGTGTGAGCTCTGCCCTGTTCCGAGAGCGTATCGCTGTGTGGTTTGGCGTTTCACGGCCCTGTGGCAGCCCTGTCTATCCTCCCCCGGTGTCTCCTCTCGTCCTCTCTAGGATGACCCCATCACCCGCCAGCATGCTCTTTGGGGCTGAAATTGCCCCCCTAAAAGTACAAATGCAAATCCGTGCCACAAATTGCTAAGGGGCATGTTCAGGAGGCACAATGGGGAAAGCAAGTTTAACGCCTTCCCCCAAGGCAGGGGTCGGCCAACTTTTGAGATGCAAGAGTCGATCCTATCCCTGACAACAATTTAAAGATTAAAGAGTCGTAAATATGTTTTCACAAACAAACTAGGTCACCATTATCTGAGTAACGCCCTTTCATTGTTTTCAATTTTACTTCAGAGCCACAGTTTGCCAACCTGGCCTAGGTCCTCCTTCTCAGAGGGTGGTCTTGTGGATAAAGCAGGGAGGGATTCTCCAGTAGCTTTTCTCGACTCACCTCTCAGGGATTTTGTGTTTTTTTCATTTAAGAGACAACATAGTTACACATCTTCCTTCAGCTCTGGGTCTGTGCTCCTCACTGTAGACACCTTATGTATAACGTCATAAAGATTTCTCCTAGATACTGAGCTTGGCCCATTCTAAGTTCAAACAATAGATTGTCAGATAGAAGAGGGGATGCCAAAACAACAACAACAACAACAACCTCACAGCCATTGAGCCTATAGGACAAGGCAAAACTGCCCCTGTGGGCTGCATAGACTAATTCTTTATGGGATTAGAAAACTGTATCTTTCTCCTGTGGAACAGCTGGTGTTTTTGAACCACTGACCTTACAGTTAGTGAACCAACAAATTACTCACTACACCACCAGCACTCCCAGCAGGATGCCAGGGAAGGTAAGATTTTAGATAAACGGTGACAATGTCGTAGTGTGAATATAGCCCAATTGTTGTGTGGGTTATACTTATACTACAAAGGACTCTCTTGTTTACCTGGTATTCAAATGTACCTGGGTACTCTGTTTTTGTTTGCTAAATCTGGCAACCTGATCAGAGAAGGAGATGATTTTGACCTGGAAGGATGTCAGGTGTTGCTCCATTTAGAAATGAATTGCATCTGAGGGGCTTTAGCCAAAGGCCTACGTGGGAAAAGAGCTGGAAATGGGTGAAAGCAAATGGAAACACCACGGTCATGAATGTCTCCACGCATCTTGGGCTCTAGGCATCTAGACCTAAGTACCTGTGTCTGTGGCCCCTTTCTGGATGGATGGTAGACTCCCGGCTTGGCTGCAAGCACAAGTGTAAGAGCAAGGTGCTATGAGTTGCCCAGGGGTGGTGAAGCTTAAAATGTCAGGTTTTGCAAAGGGAAACTGTTGATGTCAACCTTCATCATCAAAAGGAGCCCTGGTGATGCTCTGGGCAGGACATTGGGGCTGGTAACTGCAAGGTGGTTGGTTCAAACCCACCAGCTATTCCTCTGGAGAAAGATGAGGCTGTCCACTCCCATAAAGATGTCCAGTCTCAGAAGCCCTAAAGAGCAGTCCTGCTGTGTTCTGGCAGGTCTCTGTGAGTTGAAATCAACTCGTTGACATGGGCTTGTTTTCACCATCAAACTCAATGCTATGTCCTGTAATTTTTACAGTGGCAGAAAACCAACAAACGGAGAACTAAACCCTGAGAGTAGATGCTATGTAATCTTGTCAGACATTTAATAGTGCAGATTTAAGAATTCCAGTGTCACTTTTCAGTTTTTCTGTGCTATTGGTTGGTTATTTTAAAAGGGGTGGGGGGACATTATTTTTAATAAACTGAGTTTCTGTGATGTTCTACTGCATTTTCCTTTTCCCTCTTGCGTGATCTGAGACCCTTGTCAACTTAATTTTCTTCTTCTCCTGGTGTCCTTCTTGCATTGAATCAAATATAATTTCTTCTAAAAATACAAAGTCTATACTTACAGGACTGATTTTGGAAAGGCTGTGCAGCTCCATGGAGACTGGGAAGTGGCTTTCTCCCCATTCAACTATCCCAGTAAAGTTTGGAGACACCCTCCCCCCATCTTAGGTGACCCAGACGAAACAGAGTGAGAGCTGTGGCCTCCCCCAATCTGACTCGGCTGAGTTTGACTTGTGAGGAAGCTGGCAGTGCTGACTTCCAGGAGACAGTTGGTCATGGCTTTCCCTTTCTTCTCCCGGGCACTGGAGGGTGGGCTTCCAGATCCCAGGAGTCTGAAGCAGTGAAGCAAGCTGTCAGACACAGAGTGAGTTAGAAGGGCTTTCTTCCCCCCCTGCTGCTTTCCAGTACTTCCCACCCCGTCCTGCAGATCTTCCCGTGGCTGATAGTGAAGGGGGCCCAAGAGTCATTTGAGATGCTCATCTTTTAGGGCTGTTGTGACGTTCACATGAGAGGTCATTGTTCTTAGTCGCCCTCATGTCAGCTCTGATTCAGGGTGACCTTGTGAACCAAACACCTGGTCCAGTGACATCTTAATGACCGTTGGTATGTGTTCAAGTCCATTGTGGTGGCCACTGTGTAGAGCCTACCATTGTAGGGGGTTCATCTTCCTTCACTATCTCAGACAATATTCAGTTGGGAACCATAACGCTGTCAAGGGCTAATTTTGAGAAGTAGCTTGCCAGGCCTTTCTTCCTGGTCTTATTACGGTTTTTCTTTCCAATTGGTTGTCATCAAGTCTTTTGACTCATGCCAACCCCATGTATTACTTACAATATAAAGCTACTTCATCAGATTTTCTTCATTGAAACCTGTTGCCAAGTCTCTCTGCCATGACACTGCTGGATGGCATTGCACCAACCACCTGTAGTTAGTAGGCAAGCACAGATCACTTGTGCCACCCAGGGACCTCTTTATTAAGAAAGCACTAAGTGAATTACAAATTAGAATGTCTCTACTTTAGCATTGATTTTAAATACTTCAGTCTGGCTTCCTTTCATAACAGTAATGATGACAACTAACCTCTTGAGCACTTTCTATTTGACAAGCGTGGTGAGTCTCCTGCACAGACTCAGAAACCCTACTGACCCCTGTGGGTTCCCAAGACTGTAACTGCTTATGGGAGTAGAAAGCCCAGTCTTTCTCCCTCAGAGCTGCTGGTGGTTTTGAACTGCCAACCAGATGGATCGCAGCCCAACTCGTAACCACTAAACCTCTTGTAATCCTAAAAAGCCATCGGTGGCATATATGCAATATTATTTTCATCTTACAGAAGGGGAGAAAATTGGGCTTCATACATTTCTGTCTGGTTTCTTAATTCAGTTGTAAAGCAAAAATATGATCTTTTTAAACAACCCAATGACAAGGATCGCTCTGAAGATACAAGTTAGTATGGTTTGTGATAAGAGTCGTATGAGCCCCTAATAAAACGATTTTTAAAAAAAGAATCCTGGACACACACACACACAAAGAAAATACAAGTTAGAATATCAGGCTCCTTCAATGTGACTATGTATTATATGGGAAATTGCTCCCCTCTAAATGAATGATTTGAAAATATGTGACCTAAAAATTCACTTTTCTACCTTTATAGGCACTGTTTTGTAATGAAACAACCTGCCACTTGTAAAAGTCTTCACAGAGGAATTGTCTGATCCTGTTCAACTTGAACTTGAACAAATATAACCAAGAAATAATCATTGAAAACCTTTGATATAATTAACGCTGGTAGTTGGAAAACCCCAAACACCACTTTTGTGGCAACAT